AAGACAAATCCCATTGCATTTACATTCCTGCTCAATCCAAAAGAGAAATTTGAAATTAGAAAAGAACATCAGAGAACCTTTTGTTTTCAACGATGGACGACAAACTCTTTGCTTCACATTCCAAGACTTTAAATTAAATGTTACACAACAGAACCCTGTTTCTATTGTAGAACCGGACCAGAACCCCTTGATTGACTGAAATAAGGCTTAACCTGCAGAATAAACAATCTGAAAAACTCACATGCACTGCAAAAACGATCTAGAAATAAGTAAAAATGTCTTAAATTAAGTGTATTTACCCTTAATTTGAGCAGGTAAATAAGATGATTTGCCAATGAAATTAGTATCTTCCCTCTTAAAATAAGATAATTATATAATATGAACTTGAAATAAGACAATGCAATAGTTTTTTCTTATTTCAAATGTAAATTGTCTTGTTCCATTGGCAAAGTGTCTCACTTTTGTCCTCAATTCGAGAAAAAATTTACTTTTTTTAAGACAAAATTACTCACTTAGATTTCCATTTTTTGCAGTGTGGAAAGAAAAGACAATTAGAAGAATTTTATTGATACAATTACTTTAGTCTTTGGAGCTCAGACCTCACCAGCAAACATAGCGTTGAATTTTGATCAATATGCATGAACAGGAGCAAAGAACAGGGCTGTTTCCCTCCAGGCCTGAACCTGGTGGTGGAGTGGAGATAGAGGAAGTTGGTCAGTCTGTAGACTGCTGGTCCAGTGGACTGCATGAGCTGATACTAGAGCTTCACTCAGGGATCTGGAAGATGGAAGTCCAGCTTGGATGTCGACGATGAGCAAGCATGAAGCGACAGTTGAGAGGAAAAACTCCATTGGGAAGAAACCTCTGGCAGAACCAGGCTCCATATGGCGGTCTTCTGCTGGACCGGTTGAAATGAGACACGGAGCGCATTAAAAGTCCAGGAGTAACAAACTCTGATGGTGGAGGAGGGTTGAAACGCAGTCATCTGAAATTCAAATCAGATATAGCGAAACCACTGCCTGCACTTTGGGGAGCAGACTGGGTTGGGGATTGGAGACCTTTTAAGATGAACTCTGGATGCTGATTGGCTTTGGTGGAGGTGTGGTTCAAAACCAAAGGCGGATGAAGGCGAGTTTATTCAGTTTATTTAGATGAACTTCGCCTAGGCTCCATTAACCCAGTAAAGCTGGCACTGGAAAAACGATCTAGAGATAAGTTCAAATTTGCTAAATTAAGTGTATTTACCCTTAATTTGAGTAGATTAGATAGTTAGATAGTAAGATAATTAGATAACATGCACTCTAAATAAGACAATGCAGCGGTGTTTTCTTATTTTAAGTGTAAATAGTCTTGTTTCATTGGCAAAATTTATCTTTTACCTCCTCAATCCAAGAACAAATGCACTCATTATAAGAAAAAAGACTTATCTAGATATCGATTCTTTTCCAGTTTTAACCATGAAATAATTGATAGATTATTCTTTTATGCCACACTAGTCTTCATTGAAGATTCTGACAAATGAAAATTTTCAATCATTGAATTAAATAATTAGGATTTTTTTTTTTATGTCATTGGTGCCTTTTTTGGTCACCTAATGAATGCATTAGTTATTCCAGTGATGATGCAGAGTATGTATCAAACATGCCACGCAGCATTTTTCACTAAACTCAGACTCAACATGTTTCAGAATCTGCGTTTAACAGAATCAGTGTAGAATAATTCTGTCCATTTATTTAGTTTTTACTGTTCTAAGTTCTTATCTCTCATTCATTTATTAGGAACTTTAAAAACATTCATGTTGACCAAAGTTTGTTAAAGAAAAAATACGCTATACTGGAACCAGAAATGTAACATCCCTCTAAGCAGGGGTCTTCACAACGACACTGTCAAGGAACGCTATGGACAGAGGAAACATGCAAGAGGCGGAGAGTTTAGTGTCGGAGGTCATGGATGAGTCTCCTCCTTCATACATTTTTTATTCAGACGTAACTTAATGGTAAAGTAAATGTTTCTTATTTCAACTGTTCCATATATCAACTGCGACATATGAATCAAGACAACGAAAAAAAAACACAGATTTTAAGACAGGATTTTTTTTTAATAGAAATTTTCTAAATTTTGGGAGAATATAATCTGATAAAGAGTACATTTATATACATGTTTAAAATTTAAAATTGATTTCCCTACGACTTGGAAGACATTTCAATTTGTGGAAGAAAATTCCAGGAGGGAATATATAAGAAAAAACTATCATCCAAAACTTTTGCGACCCCCATGCAGTACCTCCGTGGACCCCCTAGGGGTCGCGAACCCCGTGTTGAAGACCTCCGCTCTAAGGAACCGCTTCAGTTCAGTCAGAAACTGGGAACTGGGTCAAATATTAACTAAATATTAGCAGTCAACACAACAAACTAAAGAACCGCTTCCTTTCTATCTTCAAAATAAAAGTCTCAAACTCCAGCTCTGTTGCCAGGAAACCAGCTTTGGATGATGTCACACCATGACGACTTTCAGACACCTGAATCAAACATCTGAACTCATCCAGGTTCTCCAGAGCCCTGGTTAACGTGTGCTGGAACCTTCACCTTAATTAACCTTTCTGGGTTACCTGCCCCGGCCCAGGAGTTAGACCGGTCCCGACCCGGTTAGGAGCGAGCTGTTGGTCTCCTCTGGGGGCCTCAGCCTGGAGGTAGATTAGTCCTGACAAGTTGGACTGGCTGCCTTAACTCTGAGCTGATTGGATGAAGGTCTCGTTGGAGACATGTCTGCTCTGCTCTGGGGGTCTCAGCGTGGGGTCAGAACCGGGCCGGACGCCAGCAGTCCATGTGTTAGTGAGCAGATCGGGTCTAAAAACAGGCAGGCAGTGTACGGCCCGCTTTGCCAAAAAGCAGCAATTTAGTGTGAATGTGGAGCAGCTTTCCAGCTCCGACCACACACGCTGCCGCTGCCAGGAAAGCCTTTTTTCTGCTACCTGTTTACGCGCAGGTAAAGTGGCTTTCAGAGCGCTCGTTTCAGCGGCCCGTCGTCACGTTCAGCCGCTGCTCCTCCACACTCCTCCTCTTGTTCTCCAGATAAAAACCCCACCGACTGGACTTGGTGTTCCTGAACTAACCCGATCCAGGGGAGCTCGTAAAGGAAATCGCTCCCATGATTCTTTCTGGCACAGATCACTCGCCGAGAAAATGTGGATTTCTTACACGCCGTCAGAGCCGGGGAACAATGGTTTCTGTTTGGGCTCAGTAATGAGGAGCGGTCTGCTGCAGATAATGTGTTCACTGTGGGCTTTTCACGTCCCTGCTGGGACCCCTGCTTCTGGGTAAAAATCAGGGACGCATCAATAGAGCCCAGTGGCCAGAACGTCGGACATAATTGGCTAAATTAAGAACACGGTTTGAGTCACCGGGGGCCGAGCGAGCTGCAGCGGAGCCCTGATAAATATCTGTACCTGCAGCAGAGAAGTGGCGTGTTTGAGCAGCTCGGCGCGTCTGAAACCCCAGGAGGCCGAGCGTAACCTTAGCCAAACATTTGGAGAGCGCACGGTGGGCTTTCATGCTGCTCTTTGCTCTCAGTGTGTCCACAGCAGCGAGCCGGACCCTCCCTTCATCAGCGCCCCTGATTAAACCCGTCCCAAAACAAACTGAAGGAGTCCTGCTGCTGAGGCTGCAGAGGAGACCAGACACTTCAGGGTTTGTCCTCACAGCTGCGACCGCAGAGGGCTGCAGGCTTTGGAGCCAATAGGGAGGCGGTTCTGTCCACCTGCTGAAGGTACAGACGCAGCAGAGAACCCAGACAGCCGTGGATCAGAATCCAAGTCTGGTTCAGGTCTGGCTGTAGGTTCTGATGGTCTATGTCTCCAGGGTTCTAGTTTTAACCGGATCATGAGCATCAGGCTGGTTCTGATTCTGGGTCCTGTTGTTTCTTTGTGGTTCATGTTCTTTTGTGTCCGTGTAAAGTGGATCAGACCATGGTTTTGGTTCTGGGTCCATGATGGGAGTCTCTACCCGAGGCTTTGACCCGGTTTAGAACCCGCCTGGAGCTCTCAGAACCGCAGCATGGTTCTGTTTCTAGGCCTTTTCTCTCCTGGTTCTGGATGTAATAAGACGCTGCAGTAAACTGGTGGCTGTGATGTTCATGGTTACGTAAGCGACCTTTATGTCAGTCAGCGTCCAACGGGACAGGTGGACAGGTTGCCATGGCGAGGTCCATCCTGCCGGTCCCAGCCGCCCCGGGTCATGGCGACCCGATAAAGGCCAGCCATGGCCCAAAGTCACTGCGGAACCGTCGCTCTGCATCAGCGTCCGGACTCTGATGGCGTCATCGCTCCATCAGAACCTCATCCACTGTGACAGCCAAAGTTCTGCCCGACCCGGTTCAGGGTCCAAACAACCCCCGTTACAGGCGTCTAAATCTTTTCAGCAGAACCCGATCTTCTCACCTTCAGGTTCTCCAGAACCCATCCGTCCCAGTTTGGTCCCAGAACCTGTTGCTGACCTACAGGCAGCAGAACCCGGACATCAGATGTTCTTCTCTGTGGACTGAAGGGTTCTGGTTCCTAAACCCGTCTAGAACCACCACCCCTGCTTTGATGTGGGTCAGAATTTGGAGAACTGAGAAGAGCTGAACCGGGTTTATAAGGGTTCTGAACCAGAACTCTGCCTTTTTTTTTAAAGGAGAGAGGAGGAACCAGGAGGAACCGGGTCACGGTGGGTAGAGGGGGGGTGGTTCTGGATGGGGTTAGGAACCAAAACCCTTCAGTCCACAGAGAAGAACATCTGATCTTTGGTTTCTGCTGCCTGTGGGTCAGCAGCAGGTTCTGGGACCAAACTGGACCATGAGCTGGACTCTGAGGAGCTAAAAGGTTCTGAACCTTCCTTTTCGGACCTCTGATGCTCGGTGAGTCAGACAGAACAATCTGCTGCTGAGCGCCACCTTCCTCCTCCTCCTCCTCCTCCTCCTCCTCCTCCTCCCTGTCAGAGGAGGTCCGTCCCTCTCTGGGAGTCGGAGCAGAACCAAGCAGTCCTCAGATGGACCTGCAGCTGCAGCAGAGCAACCACAGCAGCTGCTCTGTGAACCGGGTCTGTGTTCCTCAGCCGGACTTTCTGACAGATTCTTTTGGACCTCTGTGGACCTTTTGGACCGACCCAGCTGTGAGTGGACCTGTTTAGGTTCTGTTGGGTTCTGAAGTTCCTTCAGAATCTTTGTGTTCTGCTGGATTCTGGCTTTTGTTTCTTTTTTTTTTTTTGCTCTGAACTTTTTTCATCCCGTTCGGACTTTGTTCTGGACGTGTTCTACAGAGTTCTGACCGTTTACTCTCACCCTCTACTTTGCAAAGTTCTGACCAAGTTCTGAAGTGTTTTTGCAAGGTTCTGCTCATTTCTGACACTTTTATTTTCTAAGTTCTGTTGAGTTCTGATCTGTTCTGATGGTCCAAAGTTCTGTTGGGTTCTGACTGCTTGTTCTGTGCTTCCTTTCAGAACCATGCTGTTCTCCAGCAGCCTCCTGCAGCAGTGCTTCTTCGCCGTCTTCCTGCTCTGCTCTCCGGTTCCGTACGCGGGCCGACCCGTCGACACCAGCAGCAGAATGTAAGTCCAGTTCTCCTCCGGCTCGGTCTCAGAGTGGACTCTTTGTTTTGGATCTGAGGCTGGAAAATGTTCAGTGGTTCCGTTTACCCAGAGAAACCGGACCACCTGCAGGAGCAAAGCAAACCGGGCCGAGCTCAGCAGAATAAACACACTTTCTGGACTTTATCTCTGAGTCGGTTCTGGATGTGATCCCGGTTAACAGAGCAGGGGGGAACCAAACCATCTAATCAATCTGGACCTCTGACAATCTGTGGTTCTGGAGGTTTATTTAGGCAGAACCCTGTGGTTTGGATCATTTTGGGTCAGAATATGAAGGAGTTCTAACACTAAATGTCTTGGTGGTTCTGCAGCAGTTTTGGGACCGTTTCAAATGGCCCGAACAGTTCTGGTTCTGATTTACCTCCTCTGAGTTATCTGGGTCTGGGTCACAGAACCTGGAGATGCTGCAGAGGTCCGTTTTCCTTCCTTTCAGACAGAATCACAGCCAGAGTTCTGAAGGCGAGCGGGTCCGTTTGATCGGAACAGGATCAAAGGTCGGATCAGCTTTCACAGGAAACATCTGTATGCATATAAACAGCAGCTGCTCAGCACTCTGGATCAGAACCGGAGCTGCAGATTCATCAGAACTCAGCAGGAAACTGAACAGAATGTGAGGAAGAGGAGCAGCTGCCCTTCCTCAGCTGCTTCAAGAAGCTCAGGTGGAACCGCCAGGGAGGTTCTGAGCAGGCGGCGCCATCCTGTGGCGGATCCGAAGGTGGTTCCGTCTGAGTGGGAAGTTTGATCCCAGGCAGGAAGCAGAACCAGGTTCTGATGAGGTTCTACTCCTGGAAGGTGGTTCTAGTTGACTGTGGAGGAGAAGCTGATAGTTCTGACCCACACTGTAGGGGGGCGGGGCTTGTTCAGCAGGTGCTCTGAGGTTGAGGGTTGCAGATCCTTTAGGGTGTGCTGCCTCCTGCTGGCGGGTCGAGGTTCTGCTCTTCCCAGATGTTTTCCTCTGGAATCATGTTTGTGTGGTTAAAGTCTTTCTCCTCTTCTGCTCCTCCTCAGGCGCCGCTCCGTCAGCGAAACGCAGCTCATGCACGACAAAGGCCGGATGCTGCACGGATTCCGTCGCATCGTCTACCTGCAAGACCTTCTGGACGCCCTCCACACAGGCGACGCCTTGTCGGTCCGAAGCGCCGGGGTCGGAGGCAGCGGGCTGCCCGGACCCAGCCTCGGCGTCAACCCCAGCACCACGGGCAGCACCCTCCAGTCCAAACCCCCCGGAGGAACCAAGAACCTCCCCATCACCTTCCAGGTGGAGGAGGAGGAGGGAACCAACCTGCCGCAGGAGACCAACAAGTCGCAGCCGTACAAAGACAGCACGCAGAAGCTCCCCGGAAAGAGGAAGAGGAAGGGCAAGTCTGGCAGGAGGAAGGAGGGGGAGAAGAGGAAGAGGACGGTGCGCTCCATATGGCGGAGGCTGGAGGAGGAAGCTGGGAGCGGACTCCACCTGGAGTGGAGGTCTCTGCTGGGCGTGCAGAGGGCGCTGCAGTGAGACGCCGTCAGACGCTGACGAAGGTGAGTTCTGGTCTGACGCAGCCGAAGGTTCTGGGCTCAGAAGCTTTGAACACACTGGAAAAACCATCTAGAAATAAATTTAAATTTCCTAAATTTAGTGTATTTACCCTTAATTTTAGTAGGTTAGTTAGATAGTTTCTTAATAGAATGATTATTTTTACTCTTAAAATGAGATAATTAGATAATCTGCACTTAAAATAAGACAATGCAATTGTGTTTTCTTATTTTAAGTGGAAGTTGTCATGTTCCATTGGCAAAATGTCTCTTTTTCTTCCTCAATTCAAGAATAAATGCACTTATTTTAAGAAAAAATGACTTATCTAGATTTAAATTTTCCCAGTGCAGAGAAACTGATCCGATCCCCAGAACCGATTTAGAATCAAAGGAATCCTGCAGGAACTCCACCGCATCGGGTGGGGATCTAGATGTTCCGTCCAGAACCCTGTTAAAGACGTTTTAAAGTTCATTCTTTAACTTCCGGGTTTCTCCAAACCAATAAGCGTAGAATCATCAAATCCTTTAGGCTGGAAACTGGTTCTACATCCCGACACAATCTGGTCCCGATCCAATAAAACGCTCCAACCTGGACAATTAGATCTGCACGCAGAACCAGGGAGCAGAGGTGGAGGTATCATGATGAGGGAGATTCCAGGTTCTGATGTCTGCGCTGAGGTCAGCCTGCTGTCCAGGTGGACTGACCCAGAGGACATCAGCTGGACCTCCCAGCTTCGCTTCTGCTTCAGTCTGGGTTCGGTTCTCTGACAGGTTTTCATTCTCTGTGTCTTTTTTGTGTGTTTTCCAGAAAGAAATCTTCGCCTCAGCTTCCCGGACTCCTAAATGTTCACGACTCGGCCTCCTGCCATTGTGAGCGTTTGGACAGCAGACAGAAAATATTTATTGTGTGTAAATATCTGAGAATGGAAACAGAAAATGTTTAAATGAACCCATGTGGGCGCTCTGTGCAGCGACTGATTCTAATCTTTGTGAATCCATTTTTTTATTCCAGTAATGTCTTATTATTTCCAGTAATTTATTTTGTTATATTTATTTCGGAAACGTATCGAGGTGCTGCTGACCTTCTATATTTTTGTACCATAATGCACTTTAGATATCTATAATCTATAAAACATGACCTTGTTGTTTCTGTTGTTTTTGATCTGAAGTGAAGAAAACCGACTTTTTTTTCTTCTTTTTCTTTTTTTTTTAAAATGTGTTTGTTTCTTTGAAGTTGTTTTTTGTGGTCTATCCTCGCGATGCCTTCACTGACCGTCAGTTTTCTCCACGCTCTGCTTCTCCGGGCCAAAGTTCACACGTGTACCAAAACACAGCTTGTTCATGTTTGTGCACTGAGATGAAGCCCCTGTTCTGAACTGATTAAACATGTCGTCATATCTGAGTCTGACTCTGATTGGTCAATTCTGGGTTCCTAATCCTAACAGACTGTTTGGATGATATTCCAGATGTTTAGTGATTTAAAAAAAAGACCAATTCTCCATCAGTTCTGAAGTTTGAAATTTCCCTAATAAAGATTTTTTTTTTATTCCAGCTTTGACTCATTTAAAAAGATGAGATTTCACAATTTTTTAGTCGTTTAGTATCATTTTAGATTAAAGAGGCAGTACATTATGTCACCACTAGGTGTCAGTACTCATTGATTAAAGGTATTGAGGATTTTTTAAAAGACCCGCCCTCTCCACCTAAAAATAAAAATGCACGTTTAAAATAAAGGTTTAAAATGTGCTGTTCTCATAACTGTCCACATACAGCGGGGACTCTATAGTGAACTTCATAGTGAACTCGGTTAACTGACCATTCGGAAAGATGATCACTGCTTTTTGCTCCATTGGTCACGTAAATCCTCTTCCACTGCACGGTTCCTCCGCCATCTTTGTTATTAGTCAGCCCTGACAGCAAATCCCATAATGCTTTGCGAGGAGAGCTCACAAAGCATTCTGGGATATATCTGCCTCTTCTGAGGCCTTTCTTTTCTTCTGATACACTTCGCAGAGATTTTTTCTCTTACAACCCTCGGCCATTTTCAAAGAACTTGAAAGATGACTTCAATGGCTGTCGGAAAACGTAGCTCACCGCAGATATTTGCCTGAGAGTGCGCAACTGCAGAAATAGATAGCTAACGGGATGAGCACATTACGTAAAAATATCACCAGAATGATTGACAATTAGAAGGACCACTTATTGAGACGATCCACCCAGAAATACCGCCTCTGTACCTTTAAGGTAATATGTTTACTATAAAAGCCAGAGGAGGACATGGTTGGGGTTTGCTTTTTTTTTTATCATGATCTGCTGCTTCCTGCCTCGCTCCTGTTAGAGACAGACTCCAGTAAAGATCGATGGAAGCCATCCAGTCTGCTCAGGCTGAGAAGAAGAAGGTCCTTCCTGCTTCTGCAGGAACAAAGAAACTGGTGACCAGAAGGAGGTAATCGGGTCACGGATTAACTGATCATCTCAATAACAGCAGGCCTGCATTAGCACAGCATCAGAGAGGGAAGATATCAGCATTGACCAGCTGCTGTCCATCAGTCTGAGGTCAAAAGGTCATCTCCAAACCACTGAAGGCTTAAACCATGAGAGCATCAGAGGAGAAGCTCTGCAGTGATGAACGGAAACTCTATAAAAATAGATCTATGCTTCTTATAGCTGCGTTATCTTCAGGAGCCTTTCTTAACATATTTTAACCTTCATGGTAAATAAATTATTTTGAAGCTATTTCATGTAAAATTTGATTAAAGCAGCAACTGAGACATAAAATTTGATCTAATTAAGACTCCTTCATACATTTTTATAGTTTATCAGAGAAAGGTTCTGGTTCTGGGTTGATAAAAGTCTGTATTTATTCAGTGGATTGCTGATAGGCTGTTTGTAGAACATGGTGCTGTGAAGTCACCAGCCGCCATATTGGTACTCCCTAATTAGACCAGTGCCAATGTAAACAATACGTGCTCTACAGCATCAAACAACAATGATGTTCTCATTTTCTGGGGGATTTAAGATTTTTAAAATAAAGATAAATCCATCACTTTGACACACTGGCTGTTTCATAGTATCAGTAGATTACTGGAACTTATAATAAAAACAAAAATAGGCAAATTCATTATAAACTCTATAAATCAAGTAATATAACATTTTATATAAATCAATCACAAAAAATGTGTGTGTTAATGGAGCAAAATAATGCAGATTTGCCAAAAGTGCTAAATTGATTATGCACATGTAATATACATTTATTACATTGTTATGGTGATTCCATTACATTACAGGCATTTTTATGGCGCGACTCTGTGAGAGTGGGGAGTACCAAGATGGCGGCAGTTCTTAATGCCTATCAGCATTCCAGAACATAGAGATCAGTGGTTGATCCTGGAGAGAAAGCTGAAGTCCCCGCTGTGGCCACATGAGGGCGATGCTGCGCCGACAGGCGCTTCAACAGCAGAAGAAAAAGGCGGAGGAGATCAGCAGCTTCCGGCGCACGTGGGAGAAGAATAGAATCATGGCGCCAGGAGGGAAGATAAACAGACCGAAAACGGTAAGAAAGCCCAAACAGATGGTTCCGAAGGTGTCGGGTGTTGTTCGGATCAGAGCTGAAAGCTTCACCTAAAAGATCCAGAACGTTCTGGTTCTGATGGCGGGATTTACAAACAAGCAGAGCTTGTTCTGTTGGTTCTGATGGACCAACAGAACCTCTGACGTCATCAAATATAAACTTTTGTAAAAGAGTAACAGCTGCTTTGATGTTACACAGCGGTTCTGGACGGGTTCTGTGCTAGATCTATGAAACTAGAGACACTGCTCCGCATCTTTGAACATTATTTAATTTATAAAATGTAATAGACCTCAAAGAAAACTGCAGAAACGTTGCTATGGCAACACCATGAGCCTGTTACATGCTGATTGGTTGTGTGGGTTTTGATCAGCAAAGATCCGCCTCAGTATTAAATCTATGGTCACTTCCTGGTTTACTGTCAGTCCGCCACCCCCTGACCTTTGACCTGTCCTGGTTTACTGTCAGTCCGCCACCCCCTGACCTTTGACCTGTCCTGGTTTACTGTCAGTCCGCCACCCCCTGACCTTTGACCTGTCCTGGTTTACTGTCAGTCCGCCACCCCCTGACCTTTGACCTGTCCTGGTTTACTGTCAGTCCGCCACCCCCTGACCTTTGACCTGTCCTGGTTTTCCTCCAGGAGCTCGGAAAGAAGCTCTTCAAGCGGCGCAGAGTTTTGGGTCGACAGAAGAAGAAGCAGAATCAGATCGTTGGAGCCGTGGTGGACCAGGGCCTCATCACCACCCACCACCTGAAGAAGAGACGGTCAGAGCTGCAGGCGTCTCACCTGTCCTCCTCTATCCTGTCCCCCTCTCTCCTGTCCTCCTCTCCTGTCTCCCTCTCTCCTGTCTCCCTCTCCCCCGTCCTCCTCTCTCCTGTCTCCCTCTACCCTGCCCCCCTCTCCTGTCCTCCTCTCCTGTCTCCCTCTCCCCCGTCCTCCTCTCTCCTGTCTCCCTCTACCCTGCCCCCCTCTCATGTCCCTCTCTCACCTGTCTCCTGGTCTCTGTGTCCCTCAGGTCCAGTCCCAGAGCCAACATCACCCTTTCAGGGAAGAAGAGGAGGAAGCTGCTCAGGCAGCTGCATTATACGCTGCTGGAGAAGTCCTCCATGGAAGGTAGACCCTCTGATCCTGGTCTGACCCACAGACCAGCCTGTCCAGTAGAACCTGCTGTCTCCTTGTTTCTGGACAACATGGAAGAACATCCTTCAGTTTAACGTGAGGCTGAAATGTTTCTCCCACAGTGGTACCAGCACCACAGAAGAAGCAGAACTCCTCTACATCATCATCGTCATCAGCTGCTCCTAAGAAGAAGAAGAAGAAGAAGAAGGAGGCGGGGTCTGGATCCCAGGGTGACGTGGAGATGGAGGATATGGAGTGAACCGAGGTCCGATCTCAGCAGATGTTCTTCAACAGAAACCAGAACCAGCTGCTGTGGATCAAAGCAGCTTTTCCAGGGATGCATCTGTTTGGGTTCATATGAGGCACCGAGAACCAAAGCTGCAGATTTATTTCTGGTTCTGAGTGTAGAGACTGTCCACAACATGAACTGACAGACATTTTTACTGTTCCGCTGCTTTAATTAAAGAAGTCCGAATGCTACTCCTATGGTCTCAGGTTATGATTGGACTGAAAAAACCAGAACCACCGGCAGAGTTCTGAGTTTCAGCTTCTTAGGTTTGAAAAACCAGAGATTTCATGATCAGATCCGTCCACAGGTCTGCTAAAACAGAACCAACCTCGCTGCCAATCATCCAGAATATTTGTCATTAATGGCCTTCCGTACACAGACCAAACATAAGTTCTCCATGTCTGACATCTGGATGATTATAACTGAGCAGGGCCATAATAAATGCAAAGATTCAGTTGTTCTGGCTTTATTCCTGTGGAACCAGTCAGAGATTTACAGGAAAACCAAAGAAGCTAAAAAGAAAATGTAACCCTTCAGGTTAAAGATGTTAGAATCTAATTGGTAAACTGATGGATAGCTAAGCGGCGCCGGTTCTCCAAGCTCTCTTCACTAATGGAACAAACAGTTTTGCTCCAGAGCTGCTGTTTTTAGACCCGTTTTAAAGGNTAATGGAACAAACAGTTTTGCTCCAGAGCTGCTGTTTTTAGACCCGTTTTAAAGGTTCTTCATCTCAGGTTTTTTAAGTCTTAAGGAAATGAATGTTCCAACCGTTGCATTTCCGAATTCTCCCAGTGGTGCACGACTTTACACGAGTGAATAAAGTGAATGTGATTGGTCGTTTATCAAGGGGGCGGGATTGTTGTGGCAGAAGGTTTGCAAGCAAGTTTGTTTGTGGCCGGTTTGTCGGAAGCATCTTGCTAACCAGTTAGCAACTGAGTGCTAGTAGGCTCCCAATGGGAAATTCCATTGGGACCAAGTAGCACTAAATTGATGACTTAGAAACGACACTGTCAAGGAACGCTATGGACAGAGGAAACATGCAAGAGGAGGAGAGTTTAGTGTCGGAGGTCGTGGATGAGTCTCCTCCGTCATCCATTTTTTATTTAGAGGAGGAAAGCGGGGGCGAAGATGTTGTGGAAGAGGACACCAGGGCGGCAGAAGCTTGGTTTGGTGTAGAAGGTTTAATCCAGAGCCGAGGAACCTAGAAACCATCAACCTCATGTAACACAGAACCAAACTTCTATCAATGGCACAGAGAAAATGTCTTCCCTTAGATGAAAGGAGAGATTATATGATCAGTGTTAATCAGATTAGAGAGTTTAAATAATCCATTTAACTCCAAACGACCAAGAAATAAGAACCTGTGAAGGTTTGATCCAATCAGAGTCAAACCATGAAAATCTGATGATAGAAGGTTCAGTGAGATAAAAAGGCTCGGATGAATATTTAGACGTTTCAGGTGTGAATATGAAACCTGTAGCTTTGATAAATAAATGTGGATCTGTGATCAGAGCCGGCCCAAGGCAGAAGCAAACCAAGCTGCCCCAATTTCAGAGCGTTAACAGATCCTGATGTTTGGCCACCAGCTGTAGGGCAGATAGCAGAGCCACAGGTCTGCAGCCTTCAAACATTAAACGCTCGTTCATTTGTTTCTGTTGGTGATTTAACCGACAGTTAAAATAACCACTAATCTTTTCTATGTCTTTCAACGAAGGGTTCTGCAGACGCAGCATCAGGTTAAAACCAATGATCTCTATTTATTCACTGGATTGCTGATTACCCGTTGGTAGAACTGGGCTGAAATGAAGCCACCGGCCGCCATATTGGTACTCCCTATTTAGATTGGTCGCAATGTAAATGATACGGACGCTACAGCATCGAACAACGATGATGTTCTGATTTTCAGGGGGGCTTAAGACTTAAAGATACATTCATCACTTTGACACAAACTGGCTGTTTTATAGCATCAGTAGATTACCGTAATTTATGGTAAAAATGGGCACATCTCATTGCATAGTCATTATGAAGTCTATGAAGTCTCTAAATCATGTAACATATTATACAAATCAATCACTTAATGGAGCATAATAACTCCAATGTACCAAAACTGCTAAATTGATGATGTACATATAATATACATGTATTTATTACCTTCTTATGTTAATTAGATATTCCAAAAATTTACATCAAGACTGAATTTCAAGTACATGCTTGTTAATGCTATAGTACACAGGTCACAGATTAGTGGACCTCAGTCTGGATCTGGAGCCCCCTGCTGGCTAATCCAGACCCCATTTATAAATTTCCGCATCTTTTCCGACTATGGTGTCTAAACGTCACTTGTGGCACTTCTCCTGTTAATA